ACTTTGATTTGTTTTGACACATCAACAACTTAGAAAATCAAACAGTTAAAGAGTATATTACTAGTATATTTTACTTCAAATCAACATAATATCAAGTGAAATATCAAATAAATGTTAGCAGAGAAACAGCAAACTGTCTGCATTCGGAACATAGACTGCATTTGGAACATAGACTGCATTCAGAACATAGACTGCATTCGGAGAGCATGGATGTATTGTATTATCCTCTTACCTAAAGTAGAAAATCAGTAGTCAACACAGTGGGTCTGCTGACAGCCCTATGCTCCAGAAAGCTCAGAGAAACATCAGGCCATTCTTATCTCTGCACACAGGCTGCACTCGCTGGCACAAATGAGGTCTTCATCATGCACGCTTCAGACACTCCAGGCACAGTTTCAGCACTAAATCCATCTACAAATCTGCAACGAAGTTCCAACGATAGAGTTTTCTCTTCCAGACACCCATAATCTAATTTAGTTTCATTTACTCAGACAATAAACAGCTACGGGCACGATCTGTCCCTCACTTATGAACAAACTCTCGAGATGCGGTGGTATGCAAAAGTTTGGGCACCCCTATGCATTTTTTTGATTTTCCTTTTTAAATTGTTGTTTTTTTGGATGTGAAATTTCAGTTAAATAAATCACATCGGAGATAAACACAGGGATATCTGGGAATCATTTATAGAAGGTGCAAGAATTATGTAAACCAAATTATCATATGAGCTCTATATCATTGAACTTTGTGGTGTGATTGAAAACACTATAAAAGAAAGTAAAATGATAGGGGTGCCCAAACTTTTACATATCACTGTATCTGTGCCACTTCACACCTCACAGAGATTATTGCACTTTTAGGAAGTAAAAATGATAGAAGTACTAATCCTTGTTCCAATATTTTTTATAATTCAAGACAAGGCAAATGTATAAATAAATCACCATTCATACAGAAGCAACTTAACAAGAAATTTGTAACTGAAAATGTTTTGCTATCTTGCAGCCTTCCCCAACTTTGTGAGCATGGATTTCAGCATCCATTACTAACTGTACACACTTACAGTCACCATCTGTTCTTGTAGTTTTTCTACCACCTTCCATCTTCTTCTTCTTCATTTTACTCTTAGTCTTTCATCAGTTTTTAAAGTGTTGTACCTTGTTTCATTCAGTCTTATCGTCTCATGGGGGATATTACTTTTGCCATGTGTACCTTTTGTAATATATTTGAAAGATTTGAAATTCAAGTTTAAAAGCAGGTACTGATGGTGTAAGGCTTATCTCCTCAGGCAGGTTGTTCCAGAGCCGAGGAGCCTGATCGAAAAGCCTTCTGCCTCTGTCACATCTTTAGACCAGCTTTCTAAGTTGAAACGAGAGGACGATCCCTTACTCAGCCAATCAGCTCTCAGTATGTAAAATATAACATGCTTTCCATTCCGAGAGACAGCATGAGTTGTTCACAAAATGTATGTATCAAACAAAAGAGTTTTGCAGCCCAGTTTTAAGTACTTTATTAGCAATTATTATACTTTTGTTTATGCCTGAGTCCTGGATCTACAGCCTCAGCCCCCGCTGGTCCTGGATGCACATCCTCAGTCTCCATCCTATAGTCTGAGTCCTGTTTCTACAGCCTGAGTCCTGGTTCTAAAGCCTGAGTCCGGGTTCTGCAGCCTGTATTCTATTCCATTTATTTTTGTAAAGCCCTAAATTACAACAGTAGTTGTCTCAGAAGAGACTGAGAAACCACAGTGAGAATCATCTATCCATTGGACATACTATAGATGATTCTTTTGTTTTTAACAGAAATGTCTTTCACTGTTCTGATCTTCTTAATAGTGTGATTCATGACATTATTTGATACTTCTACCATGTAGTATTTTCAGTATTTACAAGTACTACTTTAATAAGGGTGTAATAAATGTGTGTGTGTAAATAAATTATGTGTTTGATGTTTTTGATCAGTTTGGCAGTGCTTTGTTTTGTGTCTATGCAGTCACTCACAATGTCTTCAGCCAATCTACAATGTATAGTTTTTGATTGTGTTATGATGTGGATCTTTTTATATTTTAATACTCCCAGGTTGGAAATGCTCAAACAGTTCTTAAGGATCTTTTATTAACATGCTGCCAAAACAAGCTGCTGTTTCCTGAATCTGAACTCACGCACGTCAACGACAGTCTTATACTCTGTTAAAATGTGTGTATGAATCTGTACCACATCCAGAGCGCCCCCTGTGGCACAACACACACAGCAATCAGCGTGTGGGTTATAGATCATGAGAATCATGTCCTGTCTATGTGGGTCAGCCTCCTTATACCAGGATGATATAGATTAAAGAAGATTAACGTACTTATAGATCGTACTGCAGCAAAGCCACAAACTTGAAAAAAATAGTTATTGCAGAACACATCCAAATCAAAGTATCTTGTTTGAAAGAGATAAATACATCTATATTGAATAAGGAATTTCTGGTGTTTTCAATGACGATATACCCCCTAAAGGCAAGGCTTAGTTATGCAGGTTCTGACGATGGTCTGGCTAAAATCCCCCACTCACCTTTCCGAAAGCCAAAGACAAAGAAGATACTTCAGTCACTATTTGTCTATCGTTTCATTACTTTTATATTTGTACTTAGAATTTGTTTATGTTTTGTGTAATAGGGGTGTATTAGTATGATGGGGTGTGATAGTATGATTAGGGAGTAAAACGGTTCTCTCTGCAGATTTCACTTTTCTGTTCTCCATAATGGTGTGTTTTGCCGTCTATAATTCTGGGTTGTATCATCAGGCTTGTGTACTGTACTGGTAAGCCTACTAAATGTGTCCTTCTGATTTTTATATTTATAAAACAATGCAGATAATGTTTGAAGAATCTATATGAGTTATATAACAGGTCTACATTCCTTACAGTTCATTACAGCTACATTACATAATTATTATGTAGATTAGAAGATTAAGATAAATATTACAGACAAAATCTAAACTATGACCAATTCTGTGACTGCAACACTCACCATAAAGTTATAAAACTTCACTCCTGTTGCTTCATGGAGACTGTTGCGACACCTTTGAGTCTTCAAAGCATCAAACCTTTTATTATGAGAAAAGCTGTACATCATTATTTCACATAAGGGCTGAGGGCTGATTGGTTGAGTGAGGCTGCTACTAATTGTTTTCACTTTTCTGCCTGATAAAGCTGATCTATAGAAAATGCAAGTGAAAACAAGTGATTGAATCAAACACTTTCAGAGCAAGGAACTATAGTCACATATGTCTTTATTACATAGTTTTAAGTTTGGTGCACAGTCTGGCGTATTTATAGCACCTGATATATTATTCATTTATGCCTTGATAAAGAGGCAATGCCTCAGATGTATCTTATTCCAGTATTTATAAAGTGTCCCCATCTTATTCCTGAAGAGCACCTGACTAATCAACGCCTTCATCTTTCTTTAAACTTCAGTCGTAACATTAGCTATAATAACGTTTGCAGTCTTTGGCAGCAGTAGCGTCTTTAGCAGAAGCTGAACACCCACCAGTACTAACACTGTAACTCATTAGCCAGCACATCTGGTTTTCCAGTAACACAGCCAGCTCCTATCACACTGCTCTCTGTCCCTGACAAGGTGATTGCTCCAAATCATCCTGAGGATGCAAACTCAGGAGGACTGGAGCAATCACATTTCTACTATCAGGAAAGGGAACATCCTATTTACGTATATGAATGTGGTCAGAGGAGGCAGTGGTGGAGCTGGGCAGCTTCCCATCCATCATTACAATACTATCTTACCACCCCCACCAGGTCTAACCTATTACAGTATTTTATCTATTTATATGAAATTTGGAATGAATCATGCTCTGTCAAGCACTTTGAGTTTAAAAGACACAATATTTAGCTATTTCATTGTTATCCTTTGGAGAATGAATAACAGAACACCGGAGGCTGCTTGGCTCATGGACCATGCTTACTTTGGAACAGTAAACTCTGCTGCCCCAGCCCTAGGGAAGGGACATTGAGAGAGTGGACTCTTGCTGGGTGTTCATCTGAACCGCAAACTCGACTGGACTCATAACAAAGACACCATCAAGAAGGGCCAAAGCCGACTTGCCAAGGAGGCTCAGGTCTTTTGGCGTGCAGGGGCCACTCCTGAAGACCTTCTATGACTCTGTAGTGGCAACAGCCTCTTCCTCTACGGTGTGATCTGCTGGAGCAGCACCATCACAGAGAGGGACAGGAAGAAGCTGGACAAGGTCATCAGGAAGTCCAGCTCTGTCCTGGGCTGTTCCCTGGACACAGCGCAGCCGAGGGGGGCAGGAAGGTCCTGGACAAACTAACATCTATGCTGGACATGATGTCACCCCCTGCAGGACACTCAATCCCTCACTGTGTGAAGGAGAGGTTCTGTAGGCCTTTCCTTCCTGCTGCTGTCAGACTGTACAATGAGAACTGCTGCGCCTGTAAATGTCATTCATCTGTAAATGAGTATGTGCAATACTGCAACAAGTAATGACACTTTACTTTATTATCTTTATTATCCTGCCCTATATGTACAGTATATAACTATATAAACATAGCTACTACTTATTTTGTATATTTGTGTGCTCCCTGTGTGCTCTTACTACCATCTGTGCGCTGCAACATTAAAATTTCCCCACTGTGGGACGAATACAGGATCTCTTATCTTATCTTAATGCAGGCAACACATCGGTGCAAAGAGCCGTAATTGGCCCGTGGGCCAGACTTTGGACATGTTTGACCAAAGAAATGAATTCAACAAGCAGGCCGCATGGTGCTACAGTATGAATCAAATAAAAAATAAAAAATCTCGTTAAACTTTACATAATTCTGAAACGTATTTAGGCTAAATACTGCGTGTGGGTTACGTTACATAACCCGCCGCAGGGCGCTTTTGGTTTTATGTGATTGTCACGCAATCCATGGCCTCGTCTATGAGACTGAAGAAGTCTGAGTTGGTGATTTTAGCTGTTTTAACGTGACACTGCGTGAATGACTGACGCAGCTGCGATCATGAGCAGTTTGCACATCACGGCTCCCTGCGTCTTGCCTGTGCCCCTCCCTCCATCTGCTCTCAGCATCAGTCTAGCGGTCTACGGTGCGCTTAAACCCGGACTCTAACCACTATTTGCTTAGGTGTACTAAGACCTGGATGCATTTATCATACGGCCACTGTGAGTTTTGCATTGGGCTGTGTTCTGTCAGTGTGCTGCATTTGAGATCAGACGTGCTGCATCTTGACGTGAGAAAAGGCTGAGCGAGTTTAGTCGTGTACAAGGACACCGCTGCCCGTCGCTGGTGGAGATGTGCATATCTGATGGCACACAGGAGACAGCGGGAAGACCTCCGTGCTTCGTGCGTGTCGCTGTTCTGTGAGTAGTCTGTCCATCTGGGCTGTACGCGCCCTGCCTCAGCTGCTGCCCGCGCTGCTGGATGTGCGCTGCGACGTCATGAGGTGATGTGTCTCAGTCACACACTTGTTTCTGTTGCAGTTTCGTGTAGCACGCTCCGAGCACATCTGTGACAACTGTGACCCGGCTCTACATGTCCGCTCGTTGAGGGTCATTTGGAAGTATAACCCAGTGTTGGTTTCATTTCTGGATTTTTTTTTATACGGCTGTTAGCTTATTTCTACCGCATCAATGTTACCATCTGCAGAAGCCGCGAAACTATACCAGACTAATTACGTGCGCAACTCTCGTGTCATTGGACTTTTGTGGGCCATCTTCACCATTTTGTTCGGTATCGTGAATGTGACCATCTTCTCTCAGCCATACTGGATTGGTGATGGCATGGACACGCCGCAGGTTGGCTACTTCGGCCTGTTTCATTACTGCGTCGGAGACGTCGGAGACCACTCCAGGGAGCTGGTGTGCCAGGGGACCTTCACCGAGTTCTCTGAGATCCCCTCCGGGGCGTTCAAAGCCGCCTCGTTCTTCATCGGCATGTCCATGATGCTGGTGGTCAGCTGCATCGGCTGCTTCAGCCTCTTCTTCCTGCTCAGCACCTCCACCGTGTATAAGATCTGCGGCTGGATGCAGGCTGCCTCCGGTAAGACACTTCATTACAACCATGTGGAAACAATAAGAACATGATCATATTTACACTGGAGCCGCCCTGCATGAGGGTGAGCTGTCCATGGTGCTGAAGCAGGATTTTTATAACCACAGCGATTCTCTGGTGTATTAGACATCTATTATTTCGCTTTGTTTCAATTATAATGGCTAATAAAGGTTTGGTTAAACCTTCAGAAAATTCTTCTATGGGTGTTGAATTATTGTGTCGAATCTATAGCCTAAGAATTAAGTAAAAAATAAAGATACTTATCTTTATTTATGCAGTGCAGAATCCATGGTGGAGGCCTATTTTTTGTCTCCTGACTCCAGTCATTCTTTTAGAAAAACTAATATGTTCAAGCAATATTCAAACTGAACCCATGAGAACATACTGTTTGAGAAGTTGAGGTTATTTTACCGATGAAGTGGCAACAAGCTATAGTGATATCCAAAGTCTAGATTATGTTATTAAGAAGCTGATTACTGAAAGTAAAGTAACTTTCAGGAGTTCTGTCTGACAGACAGTAATGACCAGCTGTCCTCTTTCAAAGCTGGAGCAAATGCAATTTTTTCTTTTTTTTAAAGAAGAAAATTAAAGAATAAGTAGTTCAATATTCAGGATACATACAAATCCTAGATTGAAATGGTTTGTTTGGAATACTAACTGGTGCTGATTCATGAGGGGGATACAACTTTCTTAGGAGCTGGATTGGTTACATCTTATTAGTGGCAAATATACAGAAGCATGCAAACAAACGCTCCCCCCACACTTGAGGGAGATACTGTATGTATAAGTACAGCAGGTTGATTGAGAAGTTCACCAAGAAAATAGAATTCTATATAATAAATTGAGCTGACCAATCATAGCGTTGCTTAAAACGCCAGCAAAGGTCCTATATCATGTGTACTAACAACTACAACATATAGTGTATGTATCAATGCAAGATCCATATTCTATGCTGTATTTTTGGCTTCATATGGATCCAGGGACAGTCCAACAGTTGTCTCCTCTCTCATGTCTCAGTGTGAAGCCTCTATGTCTCTGCATCTGGCTGTGAAACACGGCTCCTCTCAGCTGCACCTCTGTTTAGCAGGAATACTTTTTGCAACACAAATGAGGCAGATTATTTGGCCCAGGCCCGGCTCAGTGCGTGACGCTGGGGTTGAATTAATGCATTAAGCCAATAATGAGGTGGCTGCAGCTGAGATGAAAGAGAGAAGCAGCAGAGTGAGCCTGACCATGGCACATTGGCACTGGGAAGCCTAATGAGAGCGCCTGGCTGCTTAGCACTGTCAAACTCCATCACGCTTAGCTCAAGGTTAAACTCAAACGTGCCTTTTCCACATTCCCCACAGAGTACAGGTGGTATACCGTCTGCAGCTGCCTTCTCACTATCAGCCTGGGTTGTTTATGGTAAGAGTGAAACTATTATTACAGTTTAGATGTGTTGAAGGAATGGACATAATAGTGAAACATCATCTGAGTTCTACCATGGATTTTATCTAAATTGCATTCCTCCACGGCCCTGGTGGACACACTTTTTGTTTGAGTTCATCTAAATGTTGTGGTTTTGACTGGATAAATATATTCAATTCATTTTATTCTTCTATAGCCCTAAATCACAACACTAGTTATCTCGGAGGACTTAACAAAACCATTGCATTCATCAACACAGATCAGAGAAGTTCAAACACAAAAAAAACACATAGAGCCATTGGTCCATAAGGGGCAGATGACCAATTTCTAAAAATGTTGATAAATGATAAAGTTTGACATAAATCTTTTATTTTACATGGGAAACAAGCATCTGACTTCACTCGGCTAAGTTGCAAGTTGTACCTTTATTTTATAAAGTTACGTACATGTTTAAAAGCAAACTGAGAGGAATTTTAACCAAAGCATATTCATACCAAGAAGCAGGTATTGCAACACTTCACAAAAAGCTGGTCTCTTAGCAACAATTCATAAAAAATTGGGCAATTCTTAAGATGCAATAAAGTATCTCTGACTTGTTATTGCAAAATACACTCCCAGACTTAAAGAAAAAATCACAAAACCTATTATTATCTATAAATTTGTCAGTGTGTCATTGTTTTAATCTATACAATATATACAGATTTCAGCCTTGCAGCTGTTTGGAACAGAAGCAATGTATCACCATCAGTAAATTCTACATACTGTGCAGTGCAAAATAGAAGACAATCACCATTCAGAGCTATTTTTTTATGCCAGTCATTCCCAGAGCTAGAACAATACTCTTCATCATCCATTTTAGGCACATCACATTCTATCAGATAGTGCAGCGGGTCAGTCTCACTGTTCTGTCTCCCTCGATGCTCCACTGGCCCAAGGGCATGCAAGACACTTTCTGTATTCCAAGCAGCTTCCTCCTCTCCTTCCGTGCCAATCTTATGCCTTTGCTTGATCAATCACAGTTTTTTCTGTCTATTCCTACTGCCGGCTTACATTCTTTGTTTTTCTTATCATATAGGAGGCTTACATGATAGAGGAGTGAAGATATATACACAATGGTTCATTTAGTTTGAAGGCTGTTCGCGAGACAAGGTCAGACTCTATGTGCCGGGCCAAGTCTGCTGTGCATAAAACTTGGAGATGCAATCCTCTCTCTCACGCTGGCTTTCACAATTCCCCTTGGGCTGGACAAAAGGTTATGGACTTTCACTTAGCAACCTCACACATGCACAACACCGGCCATTCAGTAAAGGGTTGCCAAAACATTTAGAATGGGAGAGGCTGGTTTTGATTCATATATTACAGGATAAGTAATCTAGACAGTTGGAAGATTGAAAAAGGACATGGATTAAAGAACATTTTATAAATAGGGTTGGGCAATGGATCAGATTTATTCAATTCATTGGACTAATGTAAAATTAAGGTCAGGATAATGCTTTTTGCTCTCTGCTGCTTCAGGTCTATCGTTTAGCAGATTTGTGCAGTGTGTATAGAAGTGTATAAAGGGCAGATGTCAGCGTCTGTATGATACTTTATGATTGTTTGAGATCAAAAATAAAAACATATGAAAGTGGAATATTGAGCATTTTTCAGTAAACAGTTGGACTAAATTGAACAAGAGGGGCAGTAAAATTGAGATTGATCATTTTAGCCAGATAGACCTGCCCTAGTTATAACTTACATTTTTATTACACTGAACCAGCCAATAATTGAAGTTCTGGAGTTTAAATCAGAACATACGTATGTCCATTCATTCTTTCTGCTTTATCCTGGCCCAGGCAGCCGGAAACGTATCCTAAAGAAATCATAAACCTTTAGAGACTACTGCCACCCACTGTAATATTTTCTCTTGCGTGAAAATATCAATATCTAAGAAGTGAGGGTAAAAAGTTGAAAGTTTAATGAGAGCAGAAGAGCACTTTGGGCCAACTCAATGTGGCGCAGACTTAAGATGCAGAGTGCTCCTTTACCCCTGCTGCCCTAGATGGACTCGCATCCTTCTCTTACTTTCTTCACCCGAGCTATTTCTGTCCATGCATCTGCTCCAGTCCATACCATGCAGATGTAAGCCTGAGATGTTCCTCCACTTCGCTGAGCACTGCAGAATATATCATACATAGTCTCTTTAAAATACCACTATATTTCTTAAGTAGGCATCAGTGCTGAAAACAATGGCTTTCAGCCTTTATCATGACAGCATAACAACCATTACTGATGTAGTGTATGGTCCCTGACTACGACTTTGTTGTTGTAACTTCACTGATTAGACATTAGTATGTTTTTGTATTTTTTGAAACACGGACGATAGCATTACTCCTAATGGACTGTCACTGTACATACTGTACAGTATATGTTCCAAACTGCATGACTAATAATCCAGGATCTGATAAATAGTCCCCATGGGATGGAAACCTATATACACATCATATTTCATATGTATCGATATATTCATATTTATGATATTGTTGGATACATTTTTATTATACAACTGTTCACTATACCAATCCACAACATCCACACTCACACACATGCTGCCACACAAACACACTCACACACATGCTGCCACACAAACACACTCACACACATGCTGCCACACAAACACGCTCACACACATGCTGCCACACAAACACGCTCACACACATGCTGCCACACAAACACACTCACACACATGCTGTCACACAAACACACTCACACACATGCTGCCACACAAACATACTCACACACATGCTGCCACACAAACACACTCACACACATGCTGCCACACAAACACACTCACACACATGCTGTCACACAAACACACTCACACACATGCTGCCACACAAACACACTCACACACATGCTGCCACACAAACACACTCACACACATGCTGCCATACAAACACACTCACACACATGCTGCCACACAAACACACTCACACACATGCTGCCACACAAACACACTCACACACATGCTGTCACACAAACACACTCACACACATGCTGCCACACAAACACACTCACACACATGCTGCCACACAAACACACTCACACACATGCTGTCACACAAACACATTCACACACATGCTGCCACACAAACACATTCACACACATGCTGCCACACAAACACACTCACACACATGCTGTCACACAAACACATTCACACACATGCTGCCACACAAACACACTCACACGCTCACACACTCACACACATGCTGCCACACAAACACACTCACACACTCACACACATGCTGCCACACAAACACACAAACACACTCACACACATGCTGCCACACAAACACACTCACACACATGCTGCCACACAAACACACTCACACACATGCTGCCACACAAACACACAAACACACTCACACACATGCTGCTACACAAACACACTCACACACATGCTGCCACACAAACACATTCACACACTCACACACATGCTGCCACACAACACCTACATGTTCTGAGTTTTATTCTTCTTTATGCTTTGATGCATTCATTAAACCTGATTTGGACATAGTCAGTGAACTTAAGGAAACCGC